AAAAAAAAAATGCAAATTTTCAACTTTGAACATTTTCTATGTTCAAATATTAACAGTTATTCAGTTGATTGTTGCGTGAAACTATTCTGTAAACTCTTACGAATAAAATGGTATACTTTGTTATCGTATTATCAACATTTAAACATGTTTAAACAACGATCAAAGGGAAAAGGACATCCGAAATGCACCAATTTCTACAAATATTTTCAATTTATTTTAAAAATTAAGGATGCAGGACATAATCTGACTGTGTCAGCAGATACAGTAAATATTTTTCTTCCGGAAAGCAATAAAACAAATGGTAGGACATGTTTTGTGTTTAATACTGGAGCGAAATAGTTTAGTAAAACCTGCGACACTGGCAGTGGTACTCAAAGGCGTCAGTCGATCATTTTATTCTACTAGAGAGGGAACCCCAAACACCCAACTCACATTCAATGGTTGAATATAACCTCAACTTATTACATGTGGTAACGAAACATTAACCAACTTATTATTGAATTGTGATTAAATCCGCGCAAGAAGCAGCTGTCACATTAAACCGTTTATGACAAAAGTTACAATACATGAAAAAAGACTTTATCTTAGATAAATTGCAGTGATTTTAAATTTTTCTTGTGGACAACACACAGAGCACAGATATTCACATTTCGAGCAACGACTAGTGACGTGCAGGGAGAACTATTGTAGAACACCATTACGATATAGCACCACTAATAGCCACAGGGCAGCCAGGAAACATTTTACCCCGAGGGATCGTTTTAGACACCTTACCCCTATACGTACAAGAATTTAAAATTTTCTTTTTTCATTATTATCCCATTCATACCATTCAATGGAACAAGCATATCTACAAAACAGGTGTTTCCCGCAGCTAAGCATCCGAATGATAAAACGGCTGGTGTCAAACAATCTCCTCTTCCGCTTCTGTTTAAAGTGGCTCGGTTCCTTGAGGGACTCGCGACGCAGGCACACCACCGGCTACGTGTGCAACGTTCCAACACAGATGTATGCAGGATGCGCAGCAAGTGCAGGATCGAGCTAGCTGCATATCTCTACCCTAGGAATTGGAGTGGATGGCGAACGTGGGTACAATAGTTCGCATTGTATTGGATCTTCCCGAGTGATAGGCACTCCCCTTCCATAGCCCCGTGTCTATCTGTTCCTGTCTATCTGGCCGGCTCTGTCTCGCTTCTCTCGACGGGTTCTCCGCCACCTCCCTTCCTCCGCCACGGTCTGCCAACCCTCGCGTATCTCATTTTGCGAAGGCCTCGAGCGCGCGTTATTATGCGCGTTATGCCTCTGCTTCACTATTCTATCGCCATTGCGGCCAACTGCATCGTTTCTGTCCGTTTTCTGTTCTTCCGGTTCCAGCTACGGCATCTGGCTCCCCACGACTGCCTCCTCTTGCGAACCAACTTTCGGTGACCCGCCGCCCATCGAGAGGATCCGTCGAACCAATCGATTCGATCCTTCCCTATCCATTTCAATCAACCACGAAATTCTTTCGCACGCCTTTCCTCGGCTCCCATCTTCGATGACAGCTTGTCAATGACGCGGATCTTGATCCGACAGGGAACATCCGTGACGTGTTCCAAAATCGTTTCTGAGGGAACTTTGCGGATTTACAGAGAGGATAAGCGTAATAGAAGACCATTTTTCGTGATCGTGATAAACAGTGTTTAGAAACATACCATGTTATCCGTGTAATACAATTGTTTTATTTATTGACATTTACACCACGGTGTTTTCTGTGGAGAATTATTGGGAAAGTGGGCGGAGGCGCAGTTTAGAGTTTGTCTCCCTGGTGGTGAGATGGAAAACTACTGACAGTAGGTCCTTCAAATTTATAGTTGCTTACAGCTCAAATACCGCAAATACTCAGTGGTTTGTAACAGCTTTAAAATTGTTTGAATCGGATGTCTATAGTTTGAATTGAAAGAACAGTGGGGATTTCCATAAACGGTGTGCAACACCCTAAAGTAAAAATTTTATTGGTTGTAAAAATATAAATTAACCGTGGCCGCTTTTAAAAATTATGGAAGCTAAATGAAGTTGACAATGCTGTTATTGAAATCATTGTGTGTTGTCTTCAGACATCGAATTTAAAAGATGATCTATATGAAATTAGTGGTGAAACCTTAAAAGATTGACGAATTATTGGTATGACTTATAACTTAGGTAAATTTGCGACACGACTTCCTGAAAATCATAAATTTTATAACCAACTCTATTTATGATTACAATAATACGTACTTATTTGGATAAAATCGTCCTTTGGAAAGTGTAACGAGCTATACTAACATAGACTTTTTAAACATTCATCTATGCCTTGAAGTAGTCACTAACTTCTTCTTGATTTAATTTATTTTTCGATTTCACCAAGTTTGCTTTTTGCTAGAAAAACTGGTAAAAGCGAAGAGTATCATTTTTACATGCACGACTGTTACAGTCGTACATACAGCAATATTTTACTTTTACTTTTTCTACGACGAAATTTCATGGTGTAAATTTTTATAGCTGTTTAAATAATTATGACTGTTGTTATACCGATTAATTTAAAAGCATTAAGTATCGAAGCAAATATAAAAATATTGGTTTTTCTCAACCTGTCTATTAAAACATTGCTGACTATATGGATACTCGACCTACTTTCAATAGTTTCCTTTTCTGTCAGTAGTTGGCGTATCGAAATTCTGACTTTCCCAATACAAACTTTTGTACAGGAAAACTGTTTTATTTTCGATAACTGTGGAGGTACCGTTGGAACGACGAAATTTTCGATTTCATAAGTCGGGATTATTTTTTTAATAACATTACAAAGGTATAATATTTATCGCGAAATAAAGAATACACATTTTTAAATATTCATTAGGCTATTATAGTCTTACAATTAGTTAAAATAAGCGTAGAGATTAAAGGTATAGAAGTTGAAGCTTTCAAGTAGCCAACTGCGCAAACTTGTGTACATACAGTAGATCAAATACTTTTTGATTCTTTATCTTTTTGGTTCTGTATCTCTTCATGTACTTTCCTTGTCAAATTATACATATTTTAAAAGTTAAACTGGATCACCTTGTAGATAGTACTATTAAAAGTCAAATGTAATTTAAGTCTAAGTGAGACTTTACATATTATTTCGATTTTCACTTAAATCCCGAAATTTATTGTCGGGTGAAGTATACCTATAGCGCAACTGCAGATTTTGAGTGTGTGAACGGTTGAACAATTGATTCATCGGGGAATTAGAAAGGATGGCCAATATAACTCCGTGATGGTCAGTGAAATTCTATCGGTAGAAGGCATCGTGAAAAATGAAATTATCCGGAAACCATGCTAGCTGGCAACTGGAAAGGGAGTTAAGCGGCCTTCGTCCAGCAAATAATTGATGCACGTCAATTAGATTTGTCAGGGTGATCGTCGTAATGAAATTAACAGGAACACTAGCCATAGACACGTACATATACATATATCTGGTGATAGATATGTATATGCTCAGAGAACTGTTTCACGTACAAGGTGTGTCGTAAATCAAGTGTCACTGGAATCGATTCTCCTGCCAAAAAATTTGTTCGAAGCATTTAAGAGTATAATTATTGGAACGATTTATTTCTCACGAATTATCAGTAACATCCATTTTCTGTGTACCTGTGTAATCTGAAATTTTATATTAAACAATATTTCTTTAAAAATGTGTACATCTTATCGTTCGTGATTTTGCATAAATATGAAACAACCGAAGGATGCAACAATTTTTATTAAATTTGAAAATAGTTCAGGTGAAACAAACAATTTTATTTATTTGAAACTGTTTAATTCACAGTGAATATATAAGTGATAATGGAAATATAAAATAGATAAATATTTATATTCAGTAAGAAACCAATTGGTACATGATAAATATGAAAAGAATAAGAATGAATGGACTATACGCTATATTAGATCGATTAAAAACAATTATACATATATGTATATATGATTCTATATACATATTCAATTAATTAGGATGGCAAGGTTTCGCGGGACACCCTGTGCAGAGGTACACGAATACTCATGTAGGTAGGTGGTCTCATGGTAGAGTCGGTGGCGCCAATTTAAATTTTTCCAATACCGGATGCCACTAATTCCGTTGATCCGATAAAGCTGCTAGAAATTCCTATTGCACTTTCTCGTTAACGAAGATAACGCGGCCATTCTGACTACTGCGTTAAGAGAACGGGCAATTATCGCTCTACTTATTAATGATACTTTCACAACATATTAACCTGTAATTTCATTTTAATTGCCCTCACCTGCCGAATTTGGTGAAGAACTAGAAGACATTCTATCCGCCGTTACTATGTTCGGTACTTTTAGCCGAGAACGCATAACCGAAATAAATGTTTCCTTCCAAACATTATGAGAAAATTTTTAGGAGAGGAATTGTTTCATTCAATGCATCAATTTGAATACGTACAAATTTTATACAAGGTGTAGGGTTATTGGTGGTACAAGGAAGGGGAATTGATTTTAAGTGGAACGTTAAATCGAAAGAAATTAAATTAGAAAAACATTGGTTAAACGTCCTTTCGAAGTCACCTAACTATACATAAAGTATGGCTGTCCATTCTTGTCTTTTACTTACGAAAAACATAGAAGGCGGTATACGATATCACCCATTTTCAATCGATTTTACTACCTTTTCCCTATAAATTTATATTAAATTATTTACAAAACAGATACTACATATATTATTAGCATCAATATTTACAAATACGAATAAAAGTAGAAACAATGGGCAATGGCATAACACGACAGCCAAATTATGTTCAGTTCCAAATGTAGACGACGATGGTTCAGATTCAATTGTTATGAAAAATAAAGTTCCGTATGAAAAGATATTCTACAAAATCTGTTTAAAATTTGAAGTAAAAGTTAATTTATTGTATGTATTATGTAATTAATGGTGAAGGCCATGCGCATTAGGTAGGTTTCGAATTCACAAATTCAAGTGTAACATAGGTATATATTGTAATATAAGCTAACGTACATACATGTTTATGTATACATATACACAATATTTCTTCAGGAAATATAGTAACTTGTACATATTATAATTTAGATATCATGTTATGTAATTCTCGTCGTAGAATTTTGCCCGATGGAGTTTTGGGTATAGCATCAACGAATTTAACACCTCCTCTCAGCCATTTGTGCGGTGACAAATTTTCTGTAAATATGTTGTACAAATGATATTGAGATGCAGAAATATCAACTTACAATGCGAATTCAACGACGTGTAAACATTTTCAGGCAATTAATTTCCTATGTAGCTATACTATCCAAGGAAAGTGTCTAATAAAGATAAACATGTTATTACCACTTGTAATACTAATTTTACAATTTTTCTAAAAAAAAATGGCTGTAATTCATATAGTTGCTGTTATTTTAATTTTTTCCGCATATCCGCAAAATACCAAGCACGTATTTGTTTTTTTTTCTCTTTATTTTCAAACTTCGTCAAATTTTATCACTGTTCACATTTAATTAGCTGTCATATTTACTGGCAACACAAAGGAAAGAAACTCACGTTTTGCGAAAGCCATGATGTCCTCGGGCGATATTTTGCTACCAGGCTGTCTCACCACAAGAGCCATCGGTAGCTCTCCGCTCGCTTCATCCGGTTTTCCAATGACTGCGGCGTCTTTAACATCAGGGTGTGATTGTATCATCATTTCAATCTCAGACGGTGAAACTTGATAACCTTTATACTTAATGAGTTCCTTGAACCGTCCCGAAATATATAGTAATCCATCTTTGTTGTAATATCCCAGATCTCCAGTGTGCAGCCACTGATCCTTGTCAATTGTTTCGGCCGTAGTCTTAGGGTTTCTGAAGTAACCTAACATTGTTTGCTCTGTTTTGAAACAAACTTCCCCTTCCTGCCCTGGACCAAGTGTCTCGCCCGTATCTGGATTCACTATCTTGCTGAGTATGCCGGGCACCGGAGGACCTACGTTTCCATCATTTTTATTGGAGTTTCTGATGGAAAAATTCGTGACAATCGATAATTCTGTCATCCCGTAACCGTTTCGAATAGACTTCACTTTGAAGTGTCTCATTATTTCGTTTGCTATCTGAAAGAAATTAAGAGAATCCTCGAATTTAAGACAGTCCGTTTTTGAGGAAAGTAATACGATTAAACCATCTTAATTTAAACGCTGTACAGTAATGTTTCGCTAGTATTGTAGTTGCCATTCAGGAGAATCGAAAAAACGACATCCTACGATTAGAATCGATTGAAGCAGGCGCCATTAATTAACGACTTTGTTAAAAAAATGTTTCTACGATAGAATTTTCTAAAATGCAAATAGTATCCTTTTTGATATATATTCAATCCTACAGTATTATGTAACTGCAAATGTCATATTGCATTAATAAAGATCAAGTTAACCTTCGAATGATTTTAAAAGCGAGACAATTGAAACAATCATTTTATCTGATGAGATTCTATGGGATAGAACAGTAGAATACTTGGATACAGTAGAGTTTACACAGGTGTTTATTATTATTAACACAACTATCACTGTTCGTCCTTTTCTTTGAAAACCATTCATAGACCACGTTAGATTTCCACTATTCTATTCAGTAGAATGATTTATCTATTTCTCGACTTAATGTGGTAGTAGACAATATTCGAAAAATAAATAATAAATACTATTAACAAGTAGCAAGTATCGAGAACAAACTTACATCTATCGGAAGTGGTGCCGCGCCGCAAAGAACTTCTTTGACGGAACTCAAGTCGTACTTTGATACTATTGGATGTTTCGCGATAAGTACCAAAATTGGAGGCACCATCGGCAAATGTGTAATTTTATACGTTTGAATCGATTGTAAAAGAGTCTCTAGATTAAAAGTTCGCATCATATATATCGTTCCCGTGAAAATCATTCCGATTAACATTAAACCGAATGAATAGCCGTGAAACTGTGGCAGGTAATTTATTATTCGATCTCCTTGTCGACAGTCCATCATATCTGGTATACTGCAATTAATAATATAAATAAATATGGTCGATGACGGCACAATAATGGAATCTGAATAATAGCAAACATTACTTAACGTAATGAAGATAATCGTTAGTTCTTTATAGACTGCTGATATTTATGTAAATGTAGATTTTTATACTATTTATGATTAAAGGCTATATTAGATTAAAGAAAAACATTCCATTAAACTATTTGAATTTTTCAACTGTATTGAATTTTAAACAATTACGTAAATTATCAATATATTGAATCCGTTATCTCGTTATTTTGTGAAATAATATCTGTATTTACACATTATATTATACATTATTCACCATACACTAACATTATAGATAAGAAATAATATCTTAGTCTTTATATTTCGATATCAATAATAATTCTTGTGTTTCTTAATTTCGACTTTTGACTTTCGAGACTATATTGATGTACTAAGTTTTACTGAATTCCACGTTGTTTTTAATTTTTGATGTAAAAAATGTTATTTATCAAAGTGCAGTAGAGCTTCCCCTATCCGAAAATCCTAATATTCGAACAATTACTATCCAAATGTTCTGTTATTTGAACAGAGTCTCTGCCAGCACCAGATGCCTTCTGTTGCAAATATGTTATTATGTTGTGGTTTACGTATAATGTATATTTTTCTTCTGTTCGATCGAATTCTACGCAGTTATTTGTGTTAAAAAATGTATATTATTTAGTAGCCAAAAAGATATGGGACCCATAAATATTTAAACAAACTATCAATTTTCTTGAGCTCTTTAAATACATATAGTTTAGTATCAGAAAAATGAACGTTCTATTATCCGAAAATTCCTTTATCCGAGCACTTATTAGTTTGGACACGGTCGCTCTACTGTAATTCAACTTACCTGAAAGCGTTGGTGAAAAGTAGTAAATTTCGGTGAGATAACATTACACCTTTCGGAAAACCCGTTGTACCACTGGAGCACAAAATAACTGCTGCTACTTTGCTGCTGTCGCCGATTGGTGTCGGTACAAACGTATAAGGGTTCACTGCATCGTTGTGTACCTCCAGAAGTTTCTTTATTGTTGGAATGTTATTGTCGTATGGTTCATTATCCAAATGTATTAATATCACCTTCCAACTCAAAGTCGACACAATCTTGGCAATAATCGCCTCTGTCTTGCGGGAAACGAATATTACCCGTGGTTCACAAATTTCTAGCATATGTTTGTATTCCCCTGCGCAACAAGTTAGGAGTTATAGTAATTATTGTGACTAAACCATGTATGTACGTCTAAGCAATAACGACGTTTCTCGATTCATTCTAAATAAATTCTGAAATAAAAATTTGTAGAAAAAGAATCCGAAAATTTTCTAAATGATGGAATATAGGCATATAAAACGAATGGTTACGTGTATTGAGAAAAAGAATGGTGTTTATAATGTGACAAGATATAATTGAAGGACTGATTTAAGAAGGATTGATGATATATATAAAACGCTACGATATATTTTCTTCTAAAGTGTTAGTGTCGTTGCACTTGAATTTTTACGTACAGGTATATGTGATGCTACTTTTCTAAATGAAAAGTATTAATATAGCTTCTTTTTTTTAATGCAAAATTACACAGTGTACTTTATTTGTTTCATGGTACTATGTAATATCATAATAAAATCATATATAAATAAAACCATCATGTTAAATACTATACTCAATTAGGTAAAAGTTACGTTTAGGGGATGCCGCTCCGATGACCTTGACTTTGACATATGCCGTTCTAAGTAACCCCTAAGTGGCCTTCCATCAAACATCTTTACTGATTTTCTTCAAAACGCTTGAGCGTTGCGTCTCCTCACTTACACACATTACATATTTAACCGGGTACTGCAAGCCCACAAAGTATAAAAAAAATCGGAGGGGGAAGGTCTTGTTGTTCCCTTGTCAGTTAAATTCGACCATCTTATCCACGTGCATTCAAAGTTGGACATTTACGCTAAATCCATGAATAATCTTTATAAAAATGCATGAAAGTGTCTGATAACAAGTACTATTTAGCGATCACACCACCCTTAAATTCAGTATAATTATGTATTTCAATGGGTAAATTTGTATAAAGTCTATTCATGTTACTGTGTCTAATAAAATTCGTATAAACGATCATTTCATGTACAACGACCTCATATTAAAGTAATAATTGCTATGTTCATAAAATTATTTTCGTTACTTTCTGTGTACGTTGGATTCAGGGGGTTGAACACGGCTCCAGCATTAAAAACTGCACACATTACCACCATATAATTTGGGTGATTCTCGCTCGTGATGACAACTCTGTCCTGAGCATTGATTCCATAAGTCTTTAAAGCATGAGCAAGTTTGACGCTTGCTTCGAGAAGGTATCGATTCGTATAGGATTTTCTGGTGTCAATATCTACCTAAAACATCAGTAATATATTTATTTATACCTAAAACTATGTACATGTATGGACTACCCCGAAATAAAAGTCGTTTAAAATAATATCTCAGCACTTGATCGTATGAAACAGTAGCGGACAGAAACTTTTCACTGTTTCAGGTATAGAATCTGATAGAATAGAAGTAACAGATTTTTACATCTTGTCAGCATTATTTTACGATCCATTTGATTTTTTTAAATGATATTTTTCAATTTAAGTGCGTTAATTACGCTAGGTAAAAAGAACTTTTCGTAAAAATGCCAAAATAGTGCATAGAAACTACGCACATCGGCTCTTTTTCTAAACTTTCACGACAATTTACAACCATTAGAAATCAGATAATTTAATAACTGTGCACATTGCTGTATTTGGGACACTCTCTTCTATCTTCCAAGATTAAATTGAACTTTCTAGCAATTTTAGTTTTCACGTAATACGTCATTTTTGCCCAAAATAGGGTGTTTTTAAAAACACCTATCAAAAGTTCATGTTTTTAAAAAACTGCAGGAGATAGAGAAATTCTACTTCCGGATTCGTAATCTGGACCAGAAACCCTACTAGGATCTCCCAATGGATATTGCAGATCAAAAATCGCGTTGAATATTGTAATTGCAAAAAAGCAGTAGAAAAATATTTTCTTAATAATGGGAGACATTGCGATTATTATGTTTGTTGGATTAAGTAGTTCAGTTGATTTGAAAATACAGTTAAAAAAGGTAACAATATTCTCTGATTATAATTAGGGTAATAAAAGATTTTCATTTATCATGTTTTCGTAACATCCACAGTTCAGGTGTTATTTTAAATAACACTTATTTCCAGAAGTTTTGTATAAATACACGACTTGTATAGTACCATGATGTATATAAATTTTAAACTTACCAATACAGTGTGATCGAGATTATTGCGAAAGACATCCAGTAATTTTTCCTGCAATGAAATATTTGGGAGATACGCGGCTGGCTGGCCATGAATTATATTGTTCAGTATCTTCATCTTTAATTATGTGACGAGGTTTTTCACCTAAAAGCAACATAAAGGACGTTAAAAACGTTATAATTTTGTACATTGGATGTTTATGCAAATTCACAATTTCAGATATTATTGTATAAACATAAAAATGAAGTAGAAATATATTTCCTATACTTGATGTCTTATTACGTTGACACATAATACATAAATATCATTAAATATGATTTCAGGCTTTATTTATATTGTATTTAGCATGTTAAAAGCATAAATATTTGCAGCATTAGCCTAGTGGATTACATTGTGGTAATACATTGTATTATGCAGAAAAAATACTTTACAGTCGATAATGTTCAAAGTACGCATGGAATTCGAAAAAAAAATTCTGTATAATTTTTCATATAAGAACAATGTTTTAAAGAAACGTTCTCACAACTGTCGCACGAAATTTAAACTGAGAGTTCTTTCCGAAATTTTCTGAAGGGCAAAGTCGTTATTATCCACTTGACTGTACGAACAATGTTTCTACAACTTAAGTCGTAGTTTCAAAGACTACTGTCAAGTGTCAACGTCTCTCTCTCTCTCTCTCTCTCTCTCTCTGTGTCTGTCTGTAATTCTCTGTCGATAAAGATGGAGAATTTCTCTGGAGCGGTTGATTGGTTCGATAGTAGTATTAGCTTAAAGTTCCCCCACCGTTAGTAGGATACGGCAATACGACTCGATGTGTATTCAACCGTGGAACGACATGTGGACTTTGGATTCTATCGATGGTGTTTGCTAAAACAGATTGTTCTAGGAAGATCATGTTCACCAATGAAATCTAATTCAATGTGTTTATTCAATCAAACTCACGTATCTGTCAGACCTTTCTTTCATTATTTTCCGAGACTTAGAGATCATTATAGGTAAGTTCCTCTATCAATGAATAGTGATGTCGATATATTATAAGATTATTTATATTTCATTCATTATACGACTATATGTAAATCTATCGAAAGGATAATGATTACCGAAAAATGAGTTACTTTTGCTACATGGTGAAAGAAAGAGTTACTGAAGAGATTTTCAGTAGCTGGTCTCTCTGGAAAGATGACTTTTTTTTCCATTTTATGGAAAATACTCCTTTCCAAAAGGAGGCTACGGTGTCCCAGGACCTCTAAACCGGCGAAAGACGGGCAAATTCCTGCAGGGCGTGCTGCAAGCCATCAGGCCGCCGGCCCACACTCAATCGGATCAATTTCTGTTCTAAACAACAATTCCTTGTGTTACATAGACAGCGATACATAATGTAGGAGCGTTGGAAAAATGAGAGGGCCCAAGCGAGATCCGAACTCACGACCCCCGGCGCCGAAAGCAGAGACTCTATCCACTACTCCACGGAACCCTCCTATTTTCCCAAGATGTTATTTGCTCCTTTGTTGGATATGGAGTTCCCGATCCCACAATAATATATTAATATAATGGTTTATTGTTTCCACAACACCATGACGATTATATCGTCAGCTAGAAACCCATCAAAACTTTTTCCACTGAACCATTACGACTGATAAGTTTTCGCGGAAGGAAAACATTTCGCGCGATACCTTGAAGTTTGTGTCAGACGAATGAAATGAACATGCTGTAAATAACTAAATAATTACAAGAATGCCATTATTTAATATTAATGCCATGTCTCATTTTTGTTTTAAAAAAGGACTTACACCACTTTCAAAATAAACGGTCCAATGACGTAATTTATGCTTAATTTAGTGTAAACTAAAATAAAATGAAATGGAATTGGAAAATGGACTTGCACCACTTTAAAAATAAACGGTCCAAATAATAACAATTGATGGCAACCTATTATAAACATTGTAGCGTTCGGTAAGGTTCTCAATACGTTGTTTCTGAAACACGAAACTGAACTGTTATGGAAATCTATGCAAATAAAGAAATGATGGCTACATCTACTTAATGTCGAGAATATTTCTGGTGAAATCATATTCGTAGGTTGCTCATATAATGCAGGAATAACAATGCCAGCGAGAAAAGATATACGTGACAATGGATAAGAACAGGGTTGCTACGATAATTTGTGGGCTACTACCATTTACGAGGGCATTTGGTATAAATATCGGTTTTCAAGCACCGTCGAGAGTGTTTATCACACGATCGAGCCTCATTTTATCGAGAATAAAACACGACGGGGTGGCACTCATAATATTAAATTATCGTGTGCTCAAACGGTAACGAGAAGTCAGAAAAGTCGGAAGGGAAGGTCGATATCACGACGGAAACGTCTCGTTGACAAATTGTTTTCCTACGGTATCGACTTGGCGGGCTGCAGGAAACACGGACGGTGGTTGGAAAAATATTTCCGTTTTCTCATCCGAACTCTAGCTAGTAATTCCTCTTGCTAGCTGGAGTTTGACAAAATATAATCACTCTGACAATTACCATCAATATTTAGAGTTTTTAACTCAGCTTTTTTTTTAGAAGAATTTAATTTTTTCTTCATTTTGAAAATGATAGAGATTAACAGTATCACTACCTTGTATTTTAATTTTCAAAGTTTTGAATAAAATATTTCTATGCTCTTCCTATAGTGGTTCTATAAAATGTAGATAATTCGAATGAAACTCGGAGTAGCATATGTTGGGTCTTTGTTATAAAGACTAATCTTGAACACTGAAATTTCGGTTATAAGGACCTATTTGAAAAAAAAAAACGCTCGATCAGATGTTCAATTATTTTTAATCTACAGAATGTCTGTTTTATTTGGACTCGGTGGAATATCCCCTACAGAACAGAATGTATCAAAAAAATGTAAATATATAAAATATATAAGAAATAATTGCATGTATGCATGTATGGGCGTGTGAAGATCAAATTAATTGAATTTGGGAATTTACTGATGAAGATTTAATGTAGTTTTCTGAATACACATAGTATGCATATAAGGAATAATTTCTTTATACCTACATATATAGTGTAGTAGAGGAGATTTCAAGGTCAAGTCAACTTTTTTAAACGGAATGCTATATTTTTTATCATAATATGCTAACGTTTGTTGAAACGAGTTCAATAATGTGCTACATAAGGTCATTGCGTGTATGAAACACACTCAGGAGGTCGTCAACTAGTTACGTAAGACGTATCAAGTGAAAGTTGAATTTTCTTCAATCGGGAGGTACTATAGACGTGTCTCTGACCAGCGAGAATTCGTGAAATCCAGTTCTATAATCGAAAATGTAGAATATGTTGTATACTATTTATTACAATGGGAGCATGTTGCCTGCAAGACTCGCCACGCAAATTGAGAAAGAGACTGGTGGAAATCGTAAATGCCCACTGACAATAAGAATAATACAGTAAACGGTCCATGAGAGTTGAATAGGAAGTACTCCGTGAGAGTTTCTATTTCATCCCCCTAATGTTACTTAATTAATTATTAATAGGATTATTATTGTTACTTATTAATGTTTAATCAATCTTCCATTGTTAGTATTTCTACATATTTATGCGAACATTAGTTCATTAAATAAAAAAAATGATATCTGCTGCATTTATAATACAGAGAAGCGAACGCGTTAAATCATACTGTTTATAATCAGTTCACACTTTACATTTATACTATAAAGACGTCACGTATAAGCTTTGTTGCTAAAGCTACGTCCCCGGATTGTATTAATATTTCTTTACAGCATGTATTTCTCCTTGAAATCCTATCGGAAATCCTTCAAATATTCCTACAGGATAGGGAGATGGTGAAACGAAGTAGGAATCCATTCTTTGAAGTCGGAGTGTTGAGAAATCGCTGTTCAAGCACTGTCTTGACGTGGCTATGAGATTGGATTGGAGATTTGCGCAGGACGTATGGGAAACGTATACCACAAATGGTGTGGTTAGACCACTGTGTAAATTATTTAGCATGAAACTGTGTATCGTCAAATTTAATGGCCTAATCCAAGCCTGACTGATAGGTGGTGATTAATATCGAGTCGAATCGTGTTGGTTTTACATTAATTCGTGTGAACAACACCAGGATGCATTAGGTTCGGTGAATTGTTCTTGTTCTCTGGGTCGTCTATAACGAAAAATTTGTTTGAACTATATAATCCTAATGATATAAAGTAAGTCATATTAAATGTAACAACATTTCCAAAATGTTCACTGAAACTAGCATGTGTTTTTTTTACAAGCCAATTGCTTTATTCTTAAAACAATCAATGAAGCTATTTTCTGTGAGCATCTGGTATTTCTCGTTTCATAATTTTTATAAAGTAAGACCTGAATTATTGTAATTAATAAAAATCTTTGTTATTTACTCATTTCTTTTGTTTATGGAACGAGCACAAGTGCACACATATGACTTCAATTACAATTATGTTTACCGTGTGTTAACGATACACAATCCAATACTTTAAAACTACGAATTTTTTGTTGTTGCAAAAGTACCGCAAAGAACATCGAAATTACAAACATGAGTACCCGAATTTATTTATTATTAGAATATTTAATAATAAAATTTTAGTTTATCATAATTAAGGAAGGTATTTTGACAACTAGAAAGTAAAGAAAAAAATTAGCACTTCGCAGAAATGTAGGTGAAGTGGTCTCAATAAGGTAGCAATTTTATTTTCCAGCGGCGGAACAAGTCTAACGGTGGAAATACTCCCGTGAGGAAACTGGGTTTTCATATGATCGTAAATATATGTGAAACGGTGAAAGATATTTAAAAAACGAAATTAAGTGAAAGTTTCATAATTTGAAATGGCCTAGAATATGGAGATAAAGAATGTGTAAAAAAAACATTTTTTTTTTTTAAGAAGATTTAACCTCATCACCCGTATCTTTCGAAACTGACTGACAAAAATATGTGCCGAAAAGCTGGCCAAAACCCCGAATGTTGATAAAATAACAATCTGAAAACAGTGTTTTCTTTTTTTCATAAAATCAAGTATAAATCAAGTATTGATATTAAATTTTCTTTCATCTGGAATTGCACAGCTCGAGGAATCGGGACATATTCGACTCCATCTAATAAG